ATAAGGATTACAATAAAAGGGGATGATTATCCTAATCCTATAATGATTAGGATAACTACAACATATGGATAAATACAAGGAGCTTGAGTGTGGATAGTGACAAGTCTTGGCCGCCTGGTTTAGTGACTGAAGTAGACTGATGTGGTCTGGTCCATTTCTCGGATATGGCTAACCACCATTTCCTCCATTTCTTAACACTTACTTGATAAGGTTTATCATTTTTGTCACTTTACTCTTACACCTTAAAGCATGGAAATTATTATGTATTTATAGATTTATTTGTATTATTTACAATAAAAAATCCAATAACAACAATATAGATTTTGTTGAATTTATAATCATTATAATGTTTACTCTATGGTATATATATATATATATATATATATATATATATATATATATTGTAGGAGAAAATCATTTTTATTTTGAAATAAAATATTCAACATCGTAAATATATTATAATAAGATATAATGAAATATTTTTATAATAAAAATATTTTAAATATATTCTTGAAAGATACTTTATTTAAAAAATTGGCAGAGCAGAAATGATGCTTACAGAAGAGACTTAGTCATAAATAAGTACTTTCATTGTTATAAATTGTTTTAGATTAAATTGGTTTAGAAAATTTTGAAGTAAACAAATGTTATTTAATCCACTTTAATTTAAGTTGATATAAGACAAATGGCTCTATTACGTCTAACATAACTTTAATTATTTACTGTAAATACTAAAGCGTAAAGAATACAACTAGTTATAGTTAGGTACTACATTTGAAAAATGCATAATATTTATCACAACATAAGAAAATTAAAAGTATATTCATAATATTTTATGAAAAATAAAAGATTATCAATATAAAATTGTGGGAATGAAAATTATAGTAAATTAAGATTTTATAAAGCTAAACTAAAATATAAGGTGTTACATAGTGTATACCACAAAAAACTTTAATATTGAAAATAAAAATATCTTAAATTTATACAAAACATTATAATAGCAAGTTCATTCAATACAGTAAAAAAGAATTCCTATACTTTCAAATTTTACACATATATACAAACAAAATCATATACTTGTTTACATACAGGTTTAAAATAATTATGATGATTCACAAATCTGTAACATCCCGGTTTAATGGTATATGGAAAGGCTTAAGAGAATTGATATGGCTACCTATGTCAGCAAAGTGCACTTATCTTTTCGGGAGCACATCCAGAGAGAACTTCAGAGTTAAGCGTGCTTGAGCTGGAGTAGTCAAAGGATGGGTGACCTATCGGAAAGTGATTCGCGATACCGTGTAAGTGAGGCCAAAGCACGAGGAAAGATCGGGTGGTGATTGCAGGGTCAGTAAACATGACTCTAGAGCCATGGAAAATTAACGAACCGGCCTTTGGAATGGGATGGGCCCACAGGCCGAGAGAGTGGGCGTGGGTGACCTATTAGCTGTGGGCGGTCGGGACGTTACAAGTGGTATCAGAGCCGAACCCCGACGAGTGTGGAGTCAGTGAGGGCTCACACTAACAGGGGTAACGATCTTGGGGCGCAACGAAGACGTTGCGTTCTTTGAGAGGGGCTGAATTGTAACATCCCGGTTTAATGGTATATGGAAAGGCTTAAGAGAATTGATTTGACTACCTATCTCACCAAAGTGCACTTACCTTTTCGGGAGCACATCTAGAGAGAACTCTAGAGTTAAGCGTGCTTGAGCTGGAGTAGTCAAAGGATGGGTGACCTATCGTGAAGTGATTCGCGATATCGTGTAAGTGAGGCCAAAGCACGGGGAAAGGTCGGGTGGTGATTGCAGAATCAGTAAACATGACTCTAGAGCCTTGAAAAATTAACGGACCGGCCGTTGGAATGGGATAAGGCCCACGGGCCGAGAGAACGGGCGTGAGTGCCCCATTAGCTGTGGGCGGTCGGAACGTTACAAAATCATACTATAATATTACACTACAAAAAACGAGGTCTGTAGTATCACTTATTTTTAAAATTTATATCACTTATTTAATGACACAAATGTATTACCATCACTTAAATAATTGGTTCTGATAGTGGCGATGCAATATACGGCATCGGTTATAGTAACTGATGGTAATACTTCCATCAATTATAATATCTGATACTATAATGCATCCCTTATCGTAACTGATATAAATATTAGTGACACTTAGCGTAAATGATTTAATCATTTGCATCGATTATTTTAAACGTTGTAAATACTTGCGTCATGTTTTTTAGATGATGTATTTTTATATCATTTGAAATATGTGATGTTAATAGTAGCATTACTTCTTATAAACGATGGAAAATGTATTATCACTTATAACAATTGATACTAATTATTGTAACGTTTTTGTTAAGTGATTGGAAAAAATTGTTTCACTTATTTTAATTGATGTTAATGAAACACTGTTGCATCATTTGATATACTTGCTACAAATACTTACACATCACTTATGTAACTGAAGTTAAATAGTTTCTTCTGTAATTACAAATTTAAATTCATTAAAATAAAATAAAAATTAATAATATAAAATAAATAAATTATTTTTCAGATAAATATCAAAATGCATACAAAAGTCAAATATTAAACGAGAAGCAAACATAAGAACTATAGTAGCTAATAAAATAAATAATCCAACCAATGGTCTTAGCTATTATTAAAAGTGCATGCCGCCATACTCTAATTCACATGATCTCTGTTTTGGGTTGCCTGTAAGAAAATACCAGAAGATTTATTTCCTTTTAATCAAAGAGTAATGTTTAAATTAAATATGTTTTAACATTAAACTCGTAAAGTACCTCAGAATTCTGTTGATTGACCAAATTTGATAAAATATCAGCAAAATTTGGTTGATTGGCCAAGTTTGACAGAACACCAGCTACCGTTCCATTAGCCTGCATATAAGTAGTATTTAGTAAACAATAAAATATAAAACACTAATTAATATAAAATAACCTGAATAGTAATAGCACCAACTAGTTGTTGGATCATTCCTGCTAAATTCTGGACTTGACTTTGCAATCCTGAAACTTGTGACTTCAGCTCAACAACTTCAGACTTTGACGCTTCTACATTTGGAGTACTGGACATTTTCAATAGCTTTGAAGGTGTAGGACCACGTCCTAGGCACCGGACTCGTCCTGATCGTTCTGGTCCAAAAACTTTGGAATACTCATCGTCTAAACTAGCAATGATATTTGACTTTTCAACTGAAAGATTTTCACTCATCAAAAGTGTGAGTTCATCCTGAAATATTTAAACAATATAAACATGTATAAATTAATAGTTTTATAAATATTAGAAATAAATTTTTATATTTAAAAGAACTAACCGCACGAGTTTTTGCTTCTTCACAAACAAAAGTTCCATCAGACTTCTTACGGCTTGCAATGAAAAATTCTGTTCTGCATGGTGTTCTTTCTGTTTGGTCTTTCTAAAGAAAATATAAGAAAAAATATTTAACTTATTGTCCAATACAAATATAAATATGTACCTACACGAATGGTATGAAGAATCAACAAATCCTACAAACACAAATTACTTACAATGTTTCGTCGCTTCCTCGCAAAACTCTTTTCCGCAGACATGTGGTAAAGTATTCTTTTTTTGGTTATTGATATTCCGTTCACGCATTTTCTGAAATATGACACTAAAAAGTTACTCTCAAATCTTGTAATATGTATAAATATATCTTATATTCAATTCATAAACATACCTTCCATTTTTCACTGAAACTATAGAAAACAAAACCATTCCACTGATCTTCTGGAACCATGGCAGGACGATTATGTATGGTTTCAGTACGGTCATTCCGTTTGTACATCTTCCAGAGACGAATTTTAAAATCCTTGCATCTGCTCCCTAATACACTTAGAACATAGTTCTTTTTCGTGTCCGGATTATCAAACCAGAATTTAGTCTGTAACAAATGCCATAGCTTTTTATTACAAAAAATAGTATGAAAAGTATAACAACCAATAACTATGTTGTAAGAATAATAATATTTTTTTGTTACCAGAATAATGTCCCAGGCTTTGTCCTTCCGATGAGGAGCGAATACCCTCCAATCAGCTTAGTTAATTGGCAAAAAATTAACATCATTACTCAACTGACCTAACCAAGACCCCAATAAACCTCCAGAATCTTCATCAGGCTGACCACAATCTTCATCAAAATGAACTATCACTTTGCGCTTTTGCAATTTCCAAACTTCTTTTGTTGTCAACGTTTGTTCTTGTATTTCTCCATTTGAATCTATTTAATAATCAGTCAATGCATTAGTTATCAAAACTAAATAATAAGACAACGCATTAGTCTGTACCAGGAAGCAACGTATTCCCGTTTTCCACTAATATATATATATATATATACATTCAGTTATAAACAGATATTTGTGTCAATAAAAAAAACTGAACGTCACCTCTGATTTTCACTTTCCATTTGAAAGTGTTACACTCTAGAGCAAACAGTGGTGGACAACTGAAATCTAACTCCGTCTCTAAAAGCTGCGAGTCCTCCGGTGCTTGCGTATCATCAGAATCTATAAAGTCCATAGCTCTACACAGAAAAATATACACCAAGTTAATATTGACCAAACAAAAACTGATGAAAACTGTTGACCAAATACAGAGACATGAGGGCTCTGCTTTTGTGAACAAAAAACAGAGGGCTCTGTTTTTGTGAACTAAAAACAGAGCAAGAGTCTGTACATCTAAAAAAAGCTGGTTCTCAGATTTCACCACTAAAACTAACTAAAACTAAACAAGCGTAGGATTATTCATAGATATCTTATAAGCAAGTCAAAAGAATCTAAACAGCAGTAACACCAATGAATAAGAAATCAATGAAACCAAATCAATAATAGAGAAATCAATGAAACTCAATAGGCCAGTTCGTTTCATCACCACTACTTCTCGCGGAAGATTTCAAAAAATACGGCAACGGAGACCAAAAAATCAGAATCGAAAGTTAAAACAGCCACCGATTGATGACGCTAAACACACTGCGGCTGGAAATTCAAAGACTTTGATGACGCTATAAAATCTAGCGACACAAAAACTGGAGGAAGCGGGTGTTTCTTGTACCTCGCTAAACGTCGTAGGGTGATTTCAATGATATGCTTCTCTTGAAAACCCTAATACGTTAATGGTGAGTTAATATATAAGTTATAAATATATTTCACTTGCCGCCTAATGTAAAATAGAAATATATTTCACTTGCCGCCTAATGTAAATATATGTTTTTGAGATCGATCGATCTAAAATAGAGACGGATCGATCTATCATAGATCGATCGGTGAAGATCGACTGAACTGGACAAGGTCGATCAGTTTCTGCTCCGTGCTTTTTTATGTTTTGGGATCGACCGATCTAAAATAGAGACCAATCGATCTACAATAGATCGATCGGTGAAGATCGAATGAACTGGACAAGGTCGATCAGTTTCTGCTCCGTGTTTTTTTATGTTTTTGTTTAATCATCTAGATCGACCGTTGGGATCGACCGATTCTTTCTGGGATCGATCGATCCCGTCGTATAGAGCAGTAAATGAAATTATAACTCAAATCGGTCTCATACATGGAAGGTGTGATATATTCTCATGTAAGCCGCCTTCTTCTCCAAAGAAGATCCTCGTTTGGAGGCTTACCTACCCTTGGAGCTCAACAGTGTTGTTGTGGAAACTTTGGAAGATGAGCAAGAGTGAGAAGTTCAAAGCTGATAACCCAATCTTCAACATTAGTTACAAGTGTTTCTCTGATCCTTCAACGCCTTTGGCTGGTAATTACCTTGTTATGTTGTATCATCACCACTTCTCTATAATTTATGCAGTTATGTTTTCCAGACTTTTCTTTTGTTTCATGTTTTGTGTTTATTTATCTCTATGCACACCATGTTGTGTGTTGTTTTATGCTGGTGAAAAAGATTCAATATTAAAACGAGAACCAAACATAAGAACTGTAGTTGCTAATAAAATAAATAATCGAACCAATGGTCACAGGCTACTATCCCCCATGTCATATAAATCTCTAGGTTGGACATGCACAGCAATATTCCATCCTTTTTCACATGGGTCTTCTACATAATACACCATTTTCGCTTGAGAGGCCAAGACATACGGTTCGTCTTCTTCTTCATCCCCCGTGTGTAACAAACGGTCAAAGTTCACCATGTTATGACCATAAGCATCATGTTTGTAGCCTCGAATACTGCGAGTATCAGCCCATTTACACTTGAAAAGCACAACTCTAAAAATCTCATAATAGTTTAGTTCGATAACTCACCGTATTAGCATTCACATAAACACCACTGTTTTGTGTCTTCAGGCCATCGTCTCTTCCTGATGCTCTAAACTTATACCCATTGATATTATATGATGAATATTTTACTACTCTTTCAGACGGACCCAAAGCTAAGCATCTAAGAGCATGTACAACGCGGATCTCTTATAGATCCTTAGCGTTAATACATATGCAAATGAGCATTTAAAAATAATAAAACAATTTTGTGAACTAAGGATTAATCCTTAGATAAGGAATTTAAGGATCAATCCTTACGTGACCTCTTTCTTCTCTCTCTCTTCTCCGGTCTCTGCCTCTTCTCTTTAGACAGGGGGTTTTGATTCCCTTTCTGTTTCTCTCGTTTTTACCCAGAAACAACAATACAACACAATCGATTCATTGGGAGATGGGTCTATGTGATTTGCTTCTAAACTGGCTCAGGAGGTATATTCTCTCTCTCTCTCTCTCTCTCTCTCTCTGTACCTTGTGCTGGGATTTGTATAAAAATCATCTCTTTTGTTAATCAAGTTAGTGAAGTAGTTGTAGTTATGATTAATCACTTATCAAATTTCTACTTTGCTGTGAAAGAGTCAGCGAAACTGTTTTGCTTTTGTTTCAGAAACTTACAGATTTTTTTGAGTTTCTTGTGATGTATCCTTTATTGCTACATAAACATTGTATGAGTTAATTCATTAAGCAATCTATTGGATGTTCTTGTGCATTAGTTTCTTTTTTAGTTGATTTATAATTTCAACACAAATCAAGTATTTGCTTGATGTTATATTGAACTGCTTTTTGCCAGCTTGTTCTTCAAACAAGAGATGGAGCTCTCACTCGTTGGCCTTCAGAATACTGGAAAGACTTCTCTTGTCAATGCCATCGCTGTGAGTAAATCCTTACCCTCCATAGATATTGTGCTTTTTTCGAACATGGGATGGGATTAAACCTGGTGCTGCGTTTTGGCCAGATGTTCATGGACGTATTATAACGGCATTGATCATATCTCAGTTGCTTCTGATGGGTTTGTAAAATCTCGAATTACAGGAAGCTATGATGAAAGATACGTTGGAAAGAGCAAAAGATCCGAACCTGAACTTGAAAGGATACCTGCAAGAAGCGTATATTCATCCTGTTTTCAAAGGTGGTGATCATGACATTAAAGACCCAAGTGCTTGCTGCTGCAGAGTTGCCTTTGTAATGTTAAACTGAGAGTGTGGGTTACATGACATTAAAGACCCAAGTGCAAATGTGCAATACTCAAGTCTCGAATAACAATACATCATGTTGTTCTTTGCAGGTAAATTTTGTCCTTAATATCGTTGTGATGATCGTGATGCTAAGTAATATTTCACTTTTGTTGATGGGAGATACATTTGTGTGTTTGTTTGTTCATGCCCCTCTTATGTCATTTAACTTTGTTATACTCAGGCAGACAAGGATCTATGGTTATACGAATGATGCTATTGCTTCTTACGAAGCATTCCAATGTATGTGACCTTTGGCTTTCTTTCTTTTTGAACTTCTTTCAATTATACAAAAGCCTGTGAACTTTTGTTCATTGCTTTCATGTTTAGAAAGCAAAAGTTGTTTCTCTTTTCAATTTTTGTTCCTTTTTACTTGTGGATATCATATGCACTTCTACTCGAGTCATTTTTACAAGTATACCGTTTATGTCATATTATAGAATCGGTTAAGAAAAGAGATAAAGTTTTAAATTTCAATGTTTTACAAAATTTATAATTTGTATTTTCTAAGATTCAATTTAAAAAAAAAATTTTAAGGATTCCATAACGGATAACACCATTGGACATACATTTATGATAAGAATTCTTAACTATTCAATAAAAAAAAAACAATAATTTAGTGTTAAGGACTCCAATGGTGGGTAACACCATTGGAGTTGCTCTAATATCAACAGACACACCTTCAACATCATTTTTTTCCACCCTATATTTTAGCCATTTCCCAAAACTAAGATGCACTTCTCTGTCAACATCTATGACGTGGCTCCGCTTGCTTTGACGAACCTTTTTCTTGCTAAGCTCTTTTTTCTAGCGCCTAAATTAACCAATAAATATAAATGGTTTGTTATTTAAAATAAGGGAAAACAAATTTAAAATAGAATATATATGTATTAAAATTACTCTCTCAAAGGATCTAGGAATTGACAATTTATCAATATAAACCGATGCGCCTGTTGTCTCTCGACATAACTAAGTGTATAAACCTGACCAGCTCCGACGAATCGGCCTACATTTGGGAAACTTAATCGAAGCTCCGAGTTTGATGTATGATTTTGCACTGGTGAAGGCCGGTCATCAAATCTTCCAACTCTGTTGAATCTTGTCTCTATATCATTGAGATACATTGAGCAAAATGTAACAGATTCATCAGCCAAATATTGTTCGCATATTGATCCTTCGGGTCTGGCACGATTACGAACATAAGATTTGAAATGTCCAAGTGTTCTGCACATATATTAACTATGTGAGATACTCCTATATTCACCAGTCATGAAATATTTATGTGACTAATAATTTATGATGATTACCTTTCAATTGGATACATCCAGCGAAAAGCCACTGGTCCACCTTGTTTTACTTCTTCGACGAGATGCACAGTTAGATGTACCATTACCGTGAAAAAATGAGGGAGGGAAAACCATTTCCAAATGGCATAAAGTCATTATAATATGCTCCTGCAGTTTATCTAATTCATCTGGATCAATGACTCTTGCTGATATATTTCGGAAAAAACGAGATAACTCAATAATGGCAGATGTTACATCTTGTGGGAACAGATTCTGAACTGCTATTGGCAATAAATCTCTCATTATAATATGAGAGTCATGACTTTTAAGACCAGATAGCTTTTGATTCTTCGCATCAACGCAGCTAGATATATTAGATGCATATCCATCCGGCAATTTTACATTTTTTAAGACACCTAAGAAAATGTCTTTCCCACTACGATCCAAAGTGAAACTTGATGGTGCATATTTATCATTATTATCAGGCCACAACTCAGAGCGAATACCAAGCTCACAGAGATCTTTTCTAGCACTTAAGTTATCTTTTGACTTCCCCTTGTCGTCTAACAATGTGTAAACAATATTGTCAAACACATTTTTTTCTATATGCATAACGTCTAAGTTATGTCGCAGGACCATAGATTCCCAATAAGGCAAGTCAAAAATATACTCTTCTTTTTCCACTGTTGATCATCACACTTTTCTATACCACTTCGGTCTCTCTCTTTTTACCAACCAAGTCATGTCTCTTTCCAAGAGTAATATTAACTCTTCATTGTTGATCTTTAATTGTAGAACCTGTTGGTGAAACTGGTGGATTTCTCAGTTCTACAGTTCCATCAAAAGTAGCTTTGTTTTTCCGATACTTATGATTTATGGGAAGGAAACGGCGATGGCCCATAAAACAATTCTTTTTTCCATAGCGTAAACGTCGACCAACGGCATCATAGTTGCAGCTTGGACATGCCAATGCTGTATAAGTATTCCAACCGGATAAATTTCCAAAACCTGGAAAGTCACTTATTGTCCACATAAGAGCTGCTCTCATGCTAAATGTGTGATTTGTTAAAGCATCCCGATTTGAATTCCATCAAACCATAGCTCCTTTAGTTCTTTGTTAAGGGGCTGCAAGAAAACATCAATATCATTTCCAGGCATTTTCTTTCCAGGAATAATCATAGAAAGAATCATTGATGTTTGCTTCATAGATATCCATGGAGGAAGGTTATATGGAAATAGGATCACTGGCCATATACTATAATTTGTACTTAATGTACCAAATGGGTTAAAACCATCAGTGGCCAAGCCAAGACGAACGTTTCGTGGATCTGATGCGAATTCGGGAAACTGTAAATCAAAAGCCTTCCAAGCTCCACAGTCTCGAGGATGTCTAAGCTTTCCATCACCATCAGGATCAGTTGCATGCCATCTCATATCCGAAGCTGTTTTTGACGACATAAATAGTCATTGTAGACGGGGTTTTAAAGGAAAGTAACGTAAGACCTTTGCAGGAATTTGTTTCAGTTTCTTTGTAGACTGAGATGCCTCACTAACTGTAGAACTACCACCTTTCCATCTAGATGCTTCACAAATTACACATGTTTCTCTATCAGCATTTGCCTCCCAATATAGAATACAATCGTTTGGACATGCATCGATTGATTCATATGTCAGCCCGAGCTTGCGAATAACCTTTTTCATGTCACCGAATGAGTCTGGGAATTTTTCTTTTGGAAAGGCTTCTTTAAGCAATTCAAGCACCATAGAAATTCCCTTATCGCTGATACCGCACATACACTTGATATGATACAACTTCAGTATGAATGTCAACTTTGTAAGTTCAGTGCAGCCAGGGTAGAGGTTTTGATTGAAATCAGCAAGCAACTCATCAAAACTAGTTTCACCGCTGGTACCTGATGGGTTATCATCATCGATTGGTTGGTCAGAAGAACTAGATCCAGCATATGTATTCATGTTGATTCTAGGAAAGAGGTCATCCAAGAGATTTGCCGTTGAATTAGAGTCATCGGGAGCATGAAGGATTTATGTTGCTTTTGCAGTAGTATTGACATCCTCTCCATGTAAAACCCATTCCGTGTAAGAACTTAGAAATCCGAAACACATTAAGTCACCTTCAATATCTTGTCTTACCTTCGCTTTGGATAGAGAACAATGATTACATGGACATTTTAACATGTCCACTTTAATTTTTCCAAAAGCAAAATCTAAGAATTGTTTTACGCCATTTGAATAGTCTTGAGATAAACGAGACTTGTTTATCCATTACTTGTCCATGATGACCTAAGAAATATACATATATACAAATTTAGTTATAAAATAAAACAGGTGCAAGGAAATTAAAAGAAAGAGAGACACGAGGCTCTGTTTTAGTGAATTAAAAACAGAGCAAGAAACAACAGTAAACTAAAAGAGAAATCAATAAAACTCAATATTAGTTGTCACTATTATGCCACCAGTAGATTAACAGAGAAAATATGTGGTAATTTACCTTGCTAAACGTGTACGGTGATTTGATTCATGAAAGTCTTCAGTGATAGGCTTCTCTTGAAAACCCTAAATCAAAATACGACCATATGTATTTATTAGCATCATTTGTAATGACCTGACACTATATTATCATTAGTTGTTAAAAGTGATACAAATATATATTTATTAGCATTCCTTGTAATGACCCGACACTATATTACCATTAGTTGTTAAAAGCGATACAAATATGTATTTATTAGCATCACTTGTCATTATCCGACACTAGATTATCATTAGTTGGTAAAAATGATACAAATATGTATTTATTAGCATCACTTGTCATTATCCGACACTAGATTATCATTAGTTGGTAAAAACGATACAAATATGTACTTTTCGCATCACTTGTAATGACCCGACACTAAAGAATTTACAATGACATCACATATCAGAACTGATGTAAAACTGTATAATTGGTATCACTTAGTTTTAAGTAATTCTAATTCGTGTCAATAAATTTTGTGATACAATATAAGTGATGCTACGGACCTTGTTTTTGCATTTTTTTGTAGTGTTATAGGTTTTACAAAATATTATATTTTTAAAGCATAAGTCAAAATCTAGTGTATGTCGTATATGAAAATAAGAAGAAAAAAATCCCAGTTTAGAATAGGAGAGCATTTGGTTGTTTAGGTAAAGTCATCGACAGTTTTTTTTTTTTTAAGATTGTATCCTATGAGTAAGGAAGTGCTTGGGGACGCAATGTTGGTAATTTGGTTTCCGTTTTTTTCTAAATACGTATTTTATGTTCTAAATTAATATATTAAATTATATATTAGATACTATAAACATTAAGGAGGTGTTATTCAATTAGTGTTTTTAAATCAATTATTAATATTTTGTAATCCATCAAAAATGATTTGAAATCAATTCAAAATACAAAGAATTTTAAAATCTTTAAAAGTTGAATAACACTAGATTTTAAAAACTAAATTTAAATCATTCATTGAATAAGATTAGATTTTAAAATATAATTTAGAATCATCATTTGAATAATAATGGATTTTATTTGGATTTAAACTCTATTAAAATACATGATTGAATAACACCACCTAAACTTTGACAGTTTAACAATTTCACATATGAATAAGTGTAGTTTTCAAAAAATAAAAGATTAGTGTAATTTTAAAAATATAATGTCAGCTAAATATATTATTCCAAATTTTCTCTTTTCCTCTGATATGGTACATATTGTTGTCATTTTACAGAAAATGTGATAAATCATGTAATCACTTTTGAAAAAAAGACTGAACACGCAATTAATAGTATACAAATGCTCACAAAATACTTAGCTAATACAATTTAAATTCTATAGATTAATTTTTGTTATATTAATAAATAATATAAATTAATAAATTCTTCTGATTCTAAGTTGAACCAGTTTAAAATAGAACCCAAATCGATAATATAATATATTTTTTAAAAACATATATGTAAATATATGGTCTCACTAAAATTATAAATTAATATTTTATATGTATAAAATTTTATATAGTACAAATAAAATAATATATTGTTATTTTATATTCATAATATAGTTATCTATATTTTCTTAATATTTAATATATTTTGATGAGATTTAGTAAAATTATATCTAAAAGCATATTCAAATTTTATAAATCATTTTTATATACAATAAATAATATAATCAAACCAATATGGGTAATGAATTTTGAAAATTAATTCTTTTATATACACTAAAATCAAATATTTTATTATTTTAGAAAAGCTATTTTAAAATAGAAAAAAACTAAAAAATAAATAAATTAGTAACTCTAAGAATTAATAAAATATTTTGGTCGTAATATTATTAATATATATGGTTTTCAGTGTATATAGATTTGTACCCATAAAAATATAGATATGCACCATTAGAAAATCTTTTGAAGATTGACTAATTTTTAAGATGCCTAATTTTCAAATATATAAAGATAGCATTGGAATCATTCTGAAACCACCACAGACTCATAACTCACAAACCAAAAAAAAAAGAAAGAAAATGTCTCGCATTCTTTTGATACTTTTGGTGACTACACTCATTTGCTTCGTCAGAGAAACGAACACTCAACAAACAGTTGACAAAATCTGCAAACAGACAACAGACATCAAATTCTGCAATGGTATCTTTGCCAAGGCTACTTCCCCAAATGTGAAAGATCTCTTAAACGTGACAGTGACAGAAGCACAAAGAATATCGGATGACTCATATTTCTTCATCAGTTCGCTCCTTTTAAATTCTGGAAACCAGAGACCCAGTGTAGAAAAGTGTGCTAATGCTTACGCTTTTCTGAACTCATTGTTCACGGATGCTGTATCTCTTTTTAACAGTGGACGGTATGCTGAGATCACCACACGCTTGGTTGATGTTTCCAGTGCTGATGAAAACTGTAAGACAGATTTTAGTGTGCCCGGTTATAATATCAATCCGATGATTGAGAAAAATAGAGAGTCAAATGTTTTAGTGGCCTTGGAAAAAATTCTTGGTCATATGGTTTCTTCATAGTATGCTTGTTGAAATATTGATAATATAAGCAAACGTTTTCACATATGTTATAATCAAAATATTGTATTGCTGAGCTTCTTTATGGCAATTCTCTCTTTTTATTACAACTAGATCCCTTCTCCGCGCTACGCGCGGATTATGGATTTTAATACTTTATTATGTCCATTGAATTGTTTGAGTTTATATCTAATTTGATAAACTATATGTACTTTTATTAATTTATTATTGAAAATAAGTCCATGAAAATACATCAATTAAATATCATTAAGCTTTTTAATACCTAAACTTTTTTATCATCCAATTCATACTTAAACTAATTATTTATTCATACTAATACGATTAATTTTAAAACTGTACTAATTTTAATACCAAAATTATTTATAAGTTCGAATGAAAATTTGAAAAAAATCTTGAAAATTGATCACAATAAATCTTAAAATTTCTATTTTTATTTTAAGTTATATGAATAAAGTATCTAAACTGTGGATAATATTTAGAACTATATTATTAGTTTTAGTTTACATTTAAAATTTAGTTTTTTCTGAAGTTTAAAATTAATTAATTAATTTATTTAAAGAATTTCTAAATTTTAATATTTTATCCACTACTTAGTTACTTTATTCCTAAACTTGAAATTAAATTTGAAAATTTTCACATTTATTTTTATTTCAAAGTTTTTCTTAAGTTTTGTTTGGAGTTTATTTAAATTTTTGATTAAAATGAGCATAAGTTGGGTAGTAAAATGAGCACATAAATTAAATTGAGTAAAATAATAAGTAAAAAATATTTAAACTGATATTAAATAAGGTTGGGTATTAAAAATCTTGAGAATATTTAGCTGAATTATTTTTATCGGCTTTTTTCTTTATTATTTGGAATATGAATTTTTTTCTCTACTGCCACTTATTTTTTTAATTTTAAAATATGATTAAGATTTAAACTCTAGAAAATAATTACCATAACTAACACACCAGATGATGAGAAACACATGTTGTTCTTATTTGCCATGTACTCTGCATATTTAGTATTTGGTGTAATGTTGAATTTTATTTTTTATTAAATAGTTATTGAATTATATAATTTCAACTTTTTTATAAATTTTCTTTCAAAAATTCTTTTTTCAAAAGTATTTATTTCAAATTTTCATATTATTTATTTTTCAAATTTGCATTTTCAAATTCAAATTCTTTTTAAATTTTTTTTTTTAAATTTTTTTAAAAAAAGATAAGTATTTATTTATATATGTATTAAAATCCTATATCTCATCTCTCAAAACAATATCCCTCAAATCTAAATTCTATATCTAGATTAGTTAATTCTATGACTATAAGTATCTATTTATTTTTAAAAAAATTGAGAGTAAATGTACCTAATGTAAATATAAACATTTCTATTGAGAATGAGTTAGTTTAGACAATTGGGACCAAAACATAACAATAATAATAAAAGTTATGAAAAATGTATACATTTAGATAACATTAAGGTTCATAACTATTTTACAACAATTTCATCTATGTATATTACTATTCTTTTAGAAAATATAATAACATATTAATATAGTGTCAATATAAGCCCACAATTATATATGTTTGTTTTAATTTTCACACATTTTAACAAAACAATTAATATTATTTTTATCATATTTAAGATGTACACTACACATTAATCTTAGATCTTAAAATTTATAAGAGACAATGAATAAAATATACATGATGCATCATGTTCTTTAGCATGACTTTATTATCAGAAGCTTGTTTATAAATTAAATATGGCTTACAAATTTTTATAAATACAAATCTTGAGTTAAATTTTTTTCTATTCAACTTGGATGTTTTTTTCTCAATGAAGGTTTGTAGCCTTAAAGAAGTATTTGGCCATATATATATATCGGTTATGTTCTGTATCTTAGTGTATATAATTTTATGGGGAAAATTGCATAAAAAATCATGAAATTGGCAAAAGTTTTCACTTTAAACCTTGCGACTCAACTGGTAACACTTTAAACAATGAAATTTGTAACAATAACATATTAAACATATAACTAACTTACTTGTTGCACACGTCAAAATTGTGACCAGTTAATGTTCATTAGCAGGTAAAAAGCGATGACGTGGCGGTTTATTTGAAAAAAATATTTAAAATAAAAAAAATTAGATAAAAAATCAATTTAAATCCTAAAATTGATATAAATTCAGGAAAAATAAAGAAAATTCATTAAAATTAAAAATAAAAATAAATTTATAAATTCAAAAGTTTATAATAAAAATTAAAAATATTAAAAATCGATTAAAACTTCAAAAAGTAAAAAAAAACAAATTAAAAAGTGTAAAAATCGATAATATTTAGAAAATGAGAAATTTCTAAAAAACTGGAAAACAAAATTTCTAATATCAAAAAATTAAAAATTGAAAATGAAAATACTTGACCCAAACCTCTTTTATGTTTAGGTAGACATATAAATGTTCAAATGTCCAGGTTCAGATCCTTCAGATCATATAGATTTGGATTCAAAACTTTTTCCAACTTCATGGGTTTTGCTAGTTTTACCACTTTCATGGTTTTTTTCCAGATTTTTTTTCTTAATTTTTATCAATTTGTATATTTTATTTTTGTTGTTATTTTTTTTTGAATTTATAAATATATTTTTTGATCTTTATTAATTTGAATTTTCAGTATTTTTTTTTTAAGTTTTAATTTTTCCTGATTTTATTAAATTTTCCTAATTTTTATCGATATTTTGAATTTATGTTTTGAATTTTTTTTTTGTTTTCAAATTTTTTGTAATTTATTTTCTAATTTTTACCGTTTTACACTTTTTTAATCTCTATTTTTTGTTTTTATTATTTTTACTATTTTGTTAGTTTTAATATTTTTTTACTATTTAATTTATTTTCATTATAAACTTTTAGATTTATAAATTTATTTTTATTTTTTTAATTTCTGAATTTTCTTTATTTTTTCTGAACTTATATTAATTTTTAGAATTTATATTGATTTTTTTATCTTTTTTTTTGTTTTTATTGATTAATTTTTTGTGTTTTTAAGTAAACCGCGACGTCACCATTTTTATCTGCTAATGCACAGTAATCGGTCACAATTTTGACGTGTGCAGCAACCAAGTTAGTTTGATGTTTAATATGTTATTGTTACATGTTTCATTGTTTAAAGTGTTAGTAGTTGAGTCTGAAGGTTTAAAGTGCAAACTTTTGTCAACTTTAATGTTTTTTATGCAATTTTCCCTAATTTTATGTACATATAAGTGTTGTCACAATAGCAAACGTGAATAAGAAGACTCACATTTACAACTGCTAAGTGTTTTTGATAGATTTGGACAACTTAAATTTTTCTTTTTGAAGAATAGAAAAAAACAGCAAAATTTATGAGATTGATTAAAAAAATGAAATCTGAGGGTTGGATTAGTTATAAAACTGTTGTTAACATTAAGCTTTTACGTTATCAAATTAGAGATGTGTTGCCATGTCACATCCGCTAGTAACTGAGATTGGTGTCAACCTGAGTTGTTGAAATTGTAAAAATCTGCTTCTATAGGCCGACCATTAAGCTGATGATGAAAGTGTGTTCCCCTAAGTAGAGGAATTAGTGTGTTTGTTGACTTAAAAGTGTTGATCTTTTGCATTTCTATTGGTGTCTCTGTAATGGGTTTATTACAAAACTACAAAAGTTGCATCCTTACATCAAGTTACCAAATTGGCTGTTCTGTCTGTATAATCCTCATTGATATACTCCATAGAGCGTTTTGATACATTCTCTGATGTCTGAGATTATATCATGAAAGGAAGTAAATGAATATTTATTCTATTCAATCTTAGTTTCATGTTTCAAAAAACATGTTTTTTTATAAGGCGCATTCATCTATTGTTTATCCCGTATCACTTTTGCTTGACTGTTTTCTTCTTCTTCTTCTTCCAGACAACGTTGATTTGGGAACAGCTTGTGGAAAGTACTTCCGTGTTTCTTGTCTGAGCATCGTTGATCCAGGTAAACAAAATGTGAAAATACCATTACCTAACTACTTGTTTACTACATACTCGCCAGCTTCTTGTTCATGTTGTTGGGTCTTTGTCTGATCTTGATTTTGTCTTTTGACTGGTTTTAGGTGATTCTGACATTATCAAGAGCATTCCTGGCAACCAGTGATACCATTCTCGATTTTTTTTTCACCCCTACTTGTATGGATTTTCTCAAATTTTTTGAGCAAAAGATCTTGTGTTTGGTCTTTTGTTACTTTTACATTATGAACCGAATAGGAAAATATAAATGGTTTTTTGACATTTCTGAGAGTCAAATTCGCTGTTCTATCTTTTAATATGTATCAAATTTCATTCTCTTTTTCAAATTCTTTTTTCCTAATCAAGAAACTTAATGTTGAACCGTGAATTGAAGTTCTGGTAAATATAAAATATAATATCTACATGTAAGAAAAGTTGAAACAGAGACGGAGTACCAAGTGCTTAGTTACTTGAAGAAGATATAAAGAAAGGTGAAGCTTTCCAAAATGTTTACTTGGCTGTCTCTTCCTCCTCTTCTTCAGTATCAAGCTCGAGACCTTCAGCTGCTAACAGCTGAGTGATGAGCTTCTTCTTATCCTCGTCAGCCTTCTTTCGCATCAAATCTCTTTTCTTCAATACCAACGTGTGTCGCTTCAGAGTACTGTTAAACAACTCTCTTGACGCTTTCTTCTCCTTCTCCAGTATCTTCCTCTCTTCTTCCGGATCCACCTTAAACAAAGTTCACCAACATTCTCAACACAGAGCAAAAGGAAAAATCTCATAAACACTTGTTAGTCTTTACCTTAGAACGCAAAAGACGACGAGCACGCAAGTTTATCTCAAGCTGTTGCTGCTCAGCCCAAGCTGCAATGGCCATGTCACCTCTCTGATCAAATGCTTTACGCTTCTTCATCAGCCATTCCATCCAAGCTTGTGATGCATTCATTGGATTCACTTGGTTATCCATATTGTACTGTCTTCTCTTCTCAG